TTTTTTCAAGAATTTCACAGTTTGCTCTAATACGGCATTAAACTCTTAACTCTAGTAATTTTTTTTTTTAAATAAAGAGAGTAAAACTCTTCAAAATTAAATAAAACTTAAGCATGTTGACACTTTCTCTCTTTAAATTTAAGTTTTTATGGAAACAAAACAAAGTTTTTCTGAACATTTCACTGTAATATCAGCGTTTCACCGCAGGAATCTGCCGTGTTACCGAATGAAGGTTCAACTGAAACACAAAAAAATGACTTTATAAAAACTCACAGGAACAACATCTGTGTAACGACTTTCATATATTTACTGTCCAACTGCATTTTGAATCATTATTAATTCATCTACCAAACCTAATTTCCTTTATTTGTGTGAATTTTACATTTAAAATGTATTTTTATTTATTATTTTATTTATCATTATTACTTTAATATAGTGGCAAATATAGTTAGTTAAATAATACAAATAAATTGTTAAAGAAATGCAGATATTTGTGAGTTAAATGTTTCATGTTTCGGGACTTCCGGTGGCGCGGTCTGTGCGATGGACGTGTAAAGCGTCGCTCTGATTACAGCCTGGCATATATCCCCAAAATTCGAGGATTTTTTACCATATATTAGTCATTGAAGTAAAGATGAGTGGGGATAGACAAATGAGGGGAAAGTCCGGGACAAAGGGACCTACGGAGAAGAAATCTTACCCGAGTTCTAATACTGCTAGCCTAGCTAGCTTGAGCGATGCCGAGAGCGAAGCTAATGTTAGCCCTATGGCCACAGACAGCGCTACCATTCACGCGATTATGAGTGAAGTTATGGCCAAGGGCTTGAACGATCTTAAAATACAGATGGCACAGGATCTGGCGGACTTTTGGGAGGTAATCAAGGGGGATATTAAGAGCCAACTAAATGACATGAGCATCAACATGGACCAGAAGTTACAGACTGCTACCAGCCAGATTGAGGATGCTACACGGCGCTTAGAAGAGGTTGAAAAAAACGTGGCTGGAGCAGAAAAGTGGGACTTGGCCGTGAAGGACACATTGCTTGAACTCTTAAACAACCAGAGGGATTTACAGGCTAAGTTGTCTGACCTGGAAGGGCGCTCCCGGCGCAATAACATCCGAATTTACGGTGTCCCAGAGAACACCGAGGGTACATCGGTGCAACGGTTCATTGAGAGCTTTATAATGACTGAACTGGGGGAAAGCCTGGGTGTCCAACGGGGCACCGAGCTTGGTATCGAGCGGGCCCACCGAGCGTTGGGTCCACAACCACCACCCGGTGCACCCCCGCGCTCCATCGTTATCCGTTTCCTGAGGTTTACAATAAAAGAGAAAGTTCTTCAATCGGCCTGGAAAAAGCAGATGTATGTTCAAAACAGACGCGTCTTCTTTGACCACGATTACGCGGCAGATGTGCAGCAGAAGAGAAAAGAATATGGCCCGATAAAAAAGGTGCTGAGAGAAAATCAGATTCGCTTTCAGACACCATTGACGAAGATGCGGATCCATTTTAGCACTGGGGCTGTTACTTGCAATGACCCGGGTGCCGCTGCGGAGGAGTTGGAGAAGCGGGGCTTCTCGGTTGGTCCGATTCGAGTGAAAAAGCCCGGAGAACACACCGCGGACATCCTGACCAAGCTTATGCCGTGGCGCACGGCGGGCTCCCGCCGCGCTGGTCCTGAGTACCAGGAGAGCATCAGAGAACGGCTGCGGGGATTTCAGAGGACCGACCGGGACGACACAAGTCATGAAGATTGAATTACTTCTCAAGACGCCACGGATTTGGACACGTAATGATTATTACATCGTTAGTATGTACGTAAGTAAGACTATTTGAGCTTATACCGACGGGGAGCCTCCTCCGTAACCAACGTGACTAATCAGAACATACAAGAGGTAACCCATTACTTGGTATTCTTGGATCTTATAGATTAGTTTTAGATATTTTTTGTCCCGTGACATTGAGGGTTATAAATAATGGCTGTTTCAGTGTGTTTATAAAGAGCCACCCACTTGCTAGGGTAATACACCCAGTCTATTCTACATAGAATAAATTGACGAGGGGCCCCACTTGTTGGCTGTTTCCCCTCACTGTTTTATTTAGAGGAGTTAGGTTTTCCTCTTTGTTGGAAGTACTGTTTTTTCTTCTTTTCTTTTTTTAATGATGCTTATTGTTTTTTCTTGTTCTGAGTTGTCATTTTTTATTCCTCATTTTTTTTGTTTGTTCAAGGGCGCAAGATTACATGTAAAAGATGACATAGTAAACATATTAGAAAAATGTTCCAATATTATAAGTTTATTTCATTAAATGTAAACGGTTTAAACAGTCCCATAAAGCGTAGTAAAATGATAGCAAAATTAAAAAGGGAGAAAATTAATATTGCTTTCTGGCAAGAAACGCACCTGTCTCATACTGAGCATGAAAAGATTAAAAGATTGGGTTTTCGTAATACATTTTTCTCTTCACATAAATCAGGAAACAAAAGAGGAGTTGCTATATTGATCTCAAATAAGATTAAATTTGAATTAATATCTGAAACTGCAGATAAAGAAGGTAGATATATTTTTGTCAAAGGGAAAATAGAGGGTAAACCAGTAACTTTATTCAATGTATATGCCCCACCCGGAAGCCCATTGTCTTTCTTCAAAAAGGTTTTTGATTTAATAGCCTTTGATAAATATGGTATTTTGATATGTGCAGGGGACTTAAATTTAGTGATGAACCCCAAGTTAGACACAACAAATTGCACGAGGAAGAAGACTTCTGTTGAGTCCTGGGTAAATAAAACAATTCATCTTTTAGGTTTAACAGATGTTTGGCGAAGACATACATAGACAGGAAAAAGATTTCACATTTTATTCTGCTCGCCATAACATGTACTCAAGAATTGATTATTATTTAATGTTTAATAGTGAGCTCCATAGAGTTAAATATTGTGGGATTGGACAGAGGGACCTATCGGACCATGCAGGTATCTATTTAAACTTACATTTAGATTGTAGTATAAAGAAAACAAACTGGAGATTGAATATTGGCATGTTTAACAACGAAACATATAAAAAAGCAATAGTAGAAGAATATAAGGAATTTCTATCCCTTAATAATAATGGGGAAGTCAGTTCATCTATTCTATGGGACACTGCTAAAGCCTATCTTAGAGGAAAACTTATAGTCAAAGCAGCATTCTTGAAAAAATTAAAGCATAAACGACTACATGATTTAGAAAGAAGACTGAAGGTTCTGGAAAATTTGCACAGTCAAAATAAGGATCCTTCTTTGTTGACCTTGATGCGACCTATTAAGCAAGAAATAGACCAAATTTATAGTGAAGAAATTGAAAAGAATATAAGATATATGAAGCAGAGGTATTACGAGGCTGGGCCAAAAGCTGCAAAATTATTAGCTTGGAGACTGCGCAAACAACAAGAAGAGAGGACAATTTATAAAATCAGAGACCCAAATACAAACAAACTATTTACTAAACCCAATAAAATTAATAAATCATTCGAAAAATATTATACTAAACTGTATACACACATTGGTGAAACTGATAGTGATAAAATTGGTAAATTCTTAAATTCGTTAGACCTCCCCTGCCTAGGTAAAAGTCATAATAAATTCCTTATTGCTGAAATTTCTGAGGGGGAAATCAATAAGGCTATTTCAGCTTTAAAGACGGGTAAATCACCTGGCACAGATG